GACTGAGCCCTCACTCTCTCCCTGTGGAGCTGTCCCACATGGTAACAAGGAAATAGGAGAGACCCAAGTAACATAACACATACAGAGAGACAGCCTGGTGAGACAGACTTAATTTATTGCTGCAACTTTGAGGCATCATGTCTTACTGTAGGTAGGCAGCCAGGAGGATTTGTTATTTCTCATATTTCAGCAGCACTTCAGAGCCACATTGAGCCTGCATTGGAGAGGTGCCTCCCCTCGCTGTGGTACCTTGTTCTTTCCACAGGCTGTATGTGGAACGAGGCTCAGGCAGCAGAGCACCAGAGTCAGGCTGAATTGCTAATTTCACCCAGACAGACAAGATGAAACATGTGCAACAGCAGAGATATCCCAAGAATGATGAGAAGGAAGGAGACTGGAGTCAGTGGGAGTAGAAGTGGAACTCCTTTCCTCAGAACTGCATCTCCATCCATTGAGATCATCCCTGTGGATATCAGTGTTGCAAGACTCCTCCCAATGGCAAGCATGCATGTGCATATGTTGTCCAGCATGAGCAGTCTATATTTGTCTCCTCCTTATTCCCTCACATAAAAAAAAAGATTTTTCTCTCTCACCCTCCTCTTGTTGTAGTCTGGAATCACCCCAGCTTCCTCCCTCCCTCATGTTTGGGCCACTTTAGAGTGTTAATTAGTGATTAATTAGCAGCACAAATCCCATCTGAAGCCCCAGACACATTATAATGAATTCTTATGAGGAGCTTGAAAATCTTATGTTAATATCTTCCTTTCTTCATCAAGCAATTGCTTCTCGCTTCATTTGTCTGCAAAGATTGAGCCCACACCCTCAGCTCAGATGCTGGCATGTGTAGTTCAACTGTATCAATTAATTATTGAATGGCTTAGTTCATGCTGTTAGACTTGTAATAAAAAAAAAGGAAGAAAGAAAAAGAAAAATTGAAAGTATCTCCTTAATTATTAAATTTCAACGTGTTGGGCATTAAAGCTCTTACAGGGAATGCTGACACCAGCCTTTCCCCTTCTAACACTTCCTACCATCACCCCTGCATCTGGGTATTTTAATCAGTGGTCATGCAGAGACCACAATGAATCCAGTCCTGAGCCAAAGACTGATGAAGCCAAGGAAAATATTTACATAATTTTCAGAAGGACTTGAGTCCTTCCGATGTGCTTTTACACATCAGTGCTTTGGGGATCTATAACCTTTCTGGAAATAAACATTAGGAGACTAGCCAGGGTAGTTGAGACTGAAGATCTTCCATTCAGGGTGTTTCACAGTTCAGGGCACAAGAAACTTCTTATTATCTTTGCCTTTCCTAATAGCATGGTTTGTTGAACTGCAAGACATGCTGTCTAGGCTTTTTTTGTTGATCAAAGTGGCAAGTCCCAGCCTTAGTCTTAATTGTCCATACCCAAAGGGTATGGACAGCTGCTGTAAACTAAGTCTTTCTTCTCTGCCAAGTTGCAAAAGTGCAGGATTCAGCCAAACAGACCTGTGTTCAGTCCCTGTTCCTGAACCAGAGACCCCAGATCCTGATACCTCTCCCCTGGGCACTTCTGTTCCAAGAGGTGAGCTCTTGACTTGAGAATTTCTGAGCTTAAAAAGAACAAGGGTTTGAAGCAGATGTTTCCCTTTTGCCTATCAGCTCTGCTCCACATCCCACTGGGGAGCTGTGGGCAGAGGACTGACTCACTCTGCATGAGCATCAAACAGCTGACCTATCTCTTTGTGATCTGCCAGGAAGACTCTCTGAGTCTCCCAGGAGACTCAGCAATAGTACTCTATCCTATAATCTCTTTTCCTGGCTTCCTCCCAGGTCAGCAAAGGAGAAAGCTCTCCTGACAACAAGAGCAGCCTATGTGCCTACTACTGAACTCACTCTTTAGTTTCACCCCTTCTCTCTGTACCCCTCAGCAGGAGAAGGCATCTCAGGACCCATGATCACTGTGGTCTTGCATGCCCACCTCCCTTTAGCAACAGTGATGCCCACACCACAGTCTCAAGAGTGGGCAGCTGCTCACACCTCCTGCTTCAATTTGCTCAGTCTCAGCCCAGCTGGTGGGATTACCATGCTGCATCCATTTTTTATGGGGATTCAGACCATACAAGCTGTTAGGAGGCCTGCCTGGCCCAGCTAAACTCCAGTGAAGGCAGCATTCAGAAGATGGGACTTAAATCAGGAAAGGGCTGCAGGGATACCTCCAGCCTGGTCCTGGCTGGAGGTATCTCCACAGCCATGCAAGCCCCTGCAGTGCAGCCAGCAGCAGAGCCCAGGGCATCCAGCATCACAGAACTGTAGCCAGCCCCACACTGCACTTTGGGGAGCCAAAAACAGCTACATGATTTGAGAACAGAGAGTGAGAAAAGCAGCAGGACTGTGTCTAGGGGGAAAGGGGTAAAAAGGAGCAAAGGCAGCCTAAGCTTCAGAAAAGCCTCCTTCCTTCTCCCCAGTAATGTATTAAAGACTCCAGAGCAGTCTGCCTGCCTGGAAGCAAGGAGCATCTGGTGCATAGGTGCCAGCGACTGCAGGGTCTCTAGCAGCTTCGGCTGCTATAGCTGGGGCTGGCCGAGCCTTTCCTTTCACTGACATCCAGTCTGGAGCAAAAAAAATGCCCCTCTGTTCCCTCCCTCCAGCTGACTTGCAAACCACAGCCCAGCTGATCAGAGAGAAGTGAGCAGTTAAAAGAGACAAAGTGCTGAAATATACATAACAAAATCCCTACAAATGGTTTTTGGCATTTGGACTAGGCATGGTTTGGACTAGCAGCCTGGAGAACAAAGGCAGCACATGTTAATGATGAACATGATTCAGTTTTTAATTAATAGTACACTTTTAATAGTCCATAACAGAAGCAATGGATTGGAGAAACAGGTGGGTGTCAGGCAGGAAACTCTTCCTTTCTTCGCAATGCCCTGCCCATCGAAGATGACAGCTTGCTCCCTCTGTTCTCTCTATGGACTGTCTTCACATCTCTGACCCAAGAGGCTTTCAAGAGATGCACTGCAGGTGAGTTTTTAAGTTTTAAATGTCAGCTGCCTGCACCCTGAAATGCAGCCCAAGTGCTCTGAGAAAATCTCAGAGAGAAATCTCGTGATGTTTTCAGGAGGCTTAAATTCAAAGACTGCTTGCCAGGGATGAAGGTGTGTGTGCCAGAAAGCTTACATGGGCCCCTTCAACTGTTGTCTCACTGCAGGAGAGGTACCATGGCTGCACATATGCTAAGTCGAAGGAGCTGGGAATGTGCATGTTAGCTCCTGGCTGGGCAAGTACATGCCTTTCTCTGAGTTTGCATTAGCATATCCCTGGATTTTCATCAGCTTTTCTTTGGTATTCACCAGCACATTACCTGGCATGCATATGCTAAAGCAGCACAGCCCCTTGCTCACAACTCCTCCTTTTCACAGACATCAATAGAACCTCTGCACTATGCTAGGCTGGGATAGGAGGGAGAGAGTGACCCTGAAGACATCCAGTGCTTTGCACAAGTCCACAGCTTCTCTCTGAATTTCTCTTAATTCCTCTGCCCTTCCCCAGTCTGTCACTGCTGTCTTCTCTGTAACAGCTAATGAGGCTCCTAACCCTGATTCCTAACTTGCAAAAACATTTTTTTGCAGTCTAAATCCCCTGCATGAAAATTCCAGAAAAGCTGAAGCAAACTGAGCTCAGGAATTTTGGGCTGAATCCCTCACCCCTCTGCTGGGGAGAGGGTGGTAGGGGGTATTCTCTAGTGCTGAGAAACATGAACAAGTCTGCTTCTCCACACATACAGTTCACTCTGCTCACAGAACTGCTGGGAGTCCAACACACCTATATCCTCCCTAGCAATACCCTATCCATCATCCCAGCCTCTGCTGCTATACAGGAGAGCAGGGACATGGCAAACTGTGGTTGGGGCAAGGACTGAGCAGCTGCGCGTGGGCTGGACTGTAAGCATGGACCAAGAGTTGTTTTTGGCAGTATGAGAGTCTCATCCTGAGGAGCCATGAAACTTGAGGAGCCATCATTGAGTCACTTACTCAGGTCAAGCAGGAGTCTGGCATGGTCATCACAGCCAATTCCTGGGAGACAGAGTCCCAGAAAGAGATCACCACCCTGTCATGAGATCCATGATGGTATGAAGCAGTCACAGTCCACTTGCACAGCTGCTTCTGCTGTGGGCATGAGCTGGGGAAGACCAGAGGAGCTTCAACATGTGTTGAATGGATGCATCCACCACATTTGTCCCCGCTCTCACCAGGCACCCAAGACTCCAGGAGCACAGGGTCTATAAGGCAGCGTGGTCATCTTACCTCCACAAAAGGAGAAACTGGTACTGTACGTCCCAACTGAGGGGACTGCTTTGGGGACAGGAGAGGGATTGGACACATCTTCCCAGAAGCTGCAGCCTGGGGAGAGACTGGTACAAAGATGGTCAAAAACTAATTTTAAAATGTATCTCTCTGCTTGATTTGGTGTCTGAACATGTCACTTAACAGCAATTTACTCATTCCCTCCTGCCTTTTGCTGAGGCACTGACACTTTTTAAATAAAAATATGTAGAGGAGCTTCAGGGACTTTATTTAGGGCACAGCAAGGGTCCTGGTATCCAGGTCTCTGCCCACAATACTCCCTGTTAATGTAATGAGAGCTTGTAGGAGCATAGAAGACAGCACAGCCCCTTCCCTGGCTCCAGCTGAACACTCACAACTTCATTTCCCAGAGCACATGCTTGGCTTCCTCTGGAAATCACATCTTCAGCAGGTACCTAGGGTGCACCCTGCCTAGGTGGAAGCCATTCAGCAAACCTAATCTGCCACCAAGCTTACATAATTATTACACTTTCTAATTGTGTTTCTGTTTGGGTTTTTTTGGTGTGGGATTTTTTTTTTGGGGGGGGGGGGGTGGTTTTTTTTGGTTGGTTGGGGGTTTTTTGGTCCCCAAGCCATGTTGCAATGCAGAAGCTGCTGCTGCCATGGTTACAGTCCCAACCAGCCAATATCCAGCTCCCAGCTACATCCTCCAGAGTGGGCTGAGCCTTGGGAGCCTGTGTGCCATGCTAACTTCTTCCCAGGGGACAGAGCAGCCTGACACCACCTTCCATGACAACTTCTCTTGCCACCTCTACATCAGCTCTCTGTATCTGCAGACTTCTGGCTTTGAAACACATCTCAATTGCACCAAAGCACTGAGCACATCCTGCTCCAGGGTGAGCTTGCATGCAAAGGAAGCAGCAGTGGGACTTCTGGCAGCCAGAATAAGCAGGTCTGGCTGATGCTGGGGCTATTCACCAGGAGACAAGCTGTGGATTGGTAGGCTGGAGCTGAACAGGCACCTTCCAGGGCCCTGTGGTTCATTTTGTAGGTTGATTATCTCTTGCATGTGTATCTCTCTCTGCTCTTTCTAAGAGGAAAAGCCAGGTAGTGGCTAATGAGGTGTCACTGCACATCAGCTGATGTGATTAAAAGGCTTCTTCTTGATGGGGAAAAATTACTACTCTTTCTCTCTAGTCACCTAGTAGCATGACTCAGGCTTCCAGCTGGCTCTTCTGGGGTGCAGGCTTATACTGAATACAAGTGTGCTCCATGTCATGTTGTGTCGTGCCATGTTGTGCCATGCCGTGCCGTGCCGTGCCGTGCCGTGCCATGCCATGCCATGCCATGCCATGCCATGCCATGCCATATGCATCTCAACCATCAATCTGCATAATCATCGAATGCACCTCTTCCAATTACCCTAAAGAGATCTAAACTCAATCCCCCAACTGGACTGGGAGATGTCAGTTATCCTGCAAACCCTCACCTGATCCCAAATCAGAAATCTCAAGGAAAGCCCTCTTTCCCCCTCAGTTTCCCAGGCCCATATCTACACAAACATCCCAGCTAAGTCTGCAACCAGCGCTCTTTGCACTCTTGCAGCTTAGCCCATCCTTTAGCAAATCCCTGCCCTGGTCCTGCATGCCCAGCTGTGCCCCACTACCCCCAAGGCTGCTAGCTGCAGGGTGCCTGGGGCAGGCTGTGCCCAGGTCAGCACAGGTAAGGGGTTAAGCTCAGGACAAGCAGATTGATGTCCACCTCATCTGACTCCCACTGCCAGCAGCACCCCTGGGCTCTGGGAGATACCTCTGCTCTGTGTGCCAAAGCAGTGGGCAGCTGCCTGAGCCTCCCTCCTTGCAGGGATGGGGAGTAACTATGGTAACTGTCTCCGGCTGCATCCCAGCTCCATGTTTGTCTCTCCTCAACAGTGCTTGTGTTTATCTTCGATGTTCCATTTGCAGCTTACTCCTTCATCCTCATGACCAAAATAAAAAAGTGAGGTCTTGTAACAGCTCCCAGCCTCCTTTCCCAGAGACAGTCTTAACCACAGACAAGTAGATCCCCACAGATAAAGCATTACCTCACTCAACACCTTCCTTGCTCATCACCTGAGAGTCCCTACAGGTCCATAGCAGACATGGTTAATCACCAAAGCACAAAATTAGTGTTTGAAGTCTTGCAGGAGCCTGGAGGTGCCAGTGGGCATCAGCAAGTGCCACATGAGAGGTGTGCTGCAAGGGCACGTGGGGTGCATAGCTGGCTTCTGCACACACACCAACTGGCTGGTTTCCAGAACTACCCAGTGAAGCAATATAGATGCCACCCTTAATCCCTGTGTAACTTAATCCTTCAGATGTAAAACAGGGTGACTGAGTTTCCTCCTCCTGAACATTTATCAAAACCTTTGAGGCACAGCCACTGCTCTGTGCTGCAGTGCCTGGCACCAGAATTTATGCTTCAGTGTCAGCAGTGACTGCTAAGGTAAAAATTTTCAGAAGAATTTTAATGACTCAGATGTGGAAATCAGATTTGGGTGACACTTCTGAGAATGGATCTTGGGTTCTTGACACTTTTGAAATGTTCCCCACAATAATTTTAGAATGTCTGAACTACCAATTAGTGCTTGATTAACAATGGTAAATAGAAGCCTTGTGTTCTGCTATCTCCCTTGCTGTTTCAGCTGTTAATGACAACTACACTAGGAGCTGCCAGGGGAAACATTTAATATGTAAAGCCTGGAATTATTTTCCCTCTGTGTTTAAAAAAAAAAACTGATGACATTTCTTTTCCCTTCTTTCTCTCTTTTCAGCCCTTTGCTTTGTCATGCTGAGCAGCACATCTGACACCAGCTGAAAACATCTGGAATGGTTCTGATAGGAGCAGAGCCAGCTGCCTTTTCATAGTTCTCTGGGACTGAGAGATATATATCAGATGTGAGTGTCTCTCCTCACTAATAATATGTTATCTGAATAAATAACTGGTGGTGGCTTAGACCTGGCTGAAGTGTTTGCTCTCTGCTCCTGTTGCAGATTTGATTTACAATGTTTTCTCTCGCTTCACACTGATTCTTATTTTACTTTAGGGTTTTTTTATTCAATAATTTATTTTCTTGTCCTCCTCTCCCTCCTTCCCCTCCCCTCCTTAGACATTCAATCACAGCTGCCTGCAAGGGGGGGTTGCAACCCAGCTTTTCATCTGTTTGTGTTGCAAACAGAGGAAATTTGAGAAGCAACCATACAAATATTTTCTATCTAGTCTCTGCCCAGATCCATCCAGAGGATAAAGGCTTGTCTGGGAGGCATGGTTTGGAACTGAGCCTGCCAGTACAGGGGATGTAGGTTGAGGTCTGGCTGTGCCCAGGCACAGAGAGATGACATGGAGATGCAGTGTGGTTATCCATGGGCATCAGGCCATTAGTACTGCAGTCCTTCTGGGATTTGCTTTCCTCTGCCCCCCACATCAAGGATCCTCCTCCCTATGACAGAAACCTTCTTTGGTGCCACAGGGGACCCCAGACACCCGTACTGATCCCCAAAAGAGTCACTTCATGCCCACTGCACCTGAAACACACCTCCCTGTGTGCAGAGCAGAGCTACCCAGCACACAATTAGCAGGAGGCTGGAATACACAAGCGCAGAGTCCCAAAGGCATTCCCACATATCTCTGGACCACCAAGGTTACCCATCCCAGCTCTCTTCCCTCTTTCATCATAGCTATTCAGTCACCTCTGCCTGGACAACCCTGCCAACCTCAAATCATCTCTTCTTCCCACGATCAAAGTAATCAACTGTTGTCTCCAGTAATGCTGTCAGGAGCAGAGGGCTGTGATGAATCCTTCCTCTCAAGGCATCCAGGGGTTCTGCAAAACTACAGAGGCACCTGACTCCAGCAGGCCATCCCTGGATGGACACCAGCAAGGGAAAACACCTTGGGATGCCAAGGGCTTTTCTGGCAGCAGGAGTGATTTCAGGCAAAGAGAAAAGCATGTTATGTGACAGTGATGAAATGTGAAACCAGCTGCTTTTAAGGCCTTTCATCCATCATCCTTGTGAGCCTCTGACAGTGACAAGAGGAAGGGTGGGATGAGAGGAGAACCAAGAAAGAAGCATAGTGAAAGGAATTGACTCTGAAGACTTGGCATAGATTAAAAATAAACAGCTCTTCCCACATGTCTCTGCACCTCCATCCAGTCCTGTCTGTACAAACAGCCCCCTGAGAGTGACACTTCCAGTGTCAAGTCTCTGCAAGGGTCAGTGACAGCAGGGAATGGAGTCTAACAGACTGTCCCATCCACCCCCCAGGTCTTCTTCCTTCCTAAGTCACTGCAGTGCCTCACACAGATGTTCCAAGATCTCCGTACAGAAAGTCTCTTCCACTGCAGATACCTCTCCAGATCTTAGCCCCGTGGAAGTGACCCACATCACAGCAAAACAAATCCCACCACAATGTATGTTACGAGGCAGAGCCCCTTGAGAGCATTGGTTGGGAGCTCTGAGGACCATAGCAGCTCAGGCTGCTCCTCATCACCACCAGAATCTCTGGAGGGTGGAGGGTGTGGCTAGATGTACTAGCAGTGCTGTATTAGAAGAGGAGCTTGTTCCTCTTGCAATATATGTCTTCACAGCGGCCTCCAGGACCACCACATTTTCTGTTTGATGGGAAATGTGGGTAAAATCAGATTCTGCTTTTTGCTGCAGAGGAGGAAGGTGTCTCCCAGCCTGGAAATGCAGCTACTCTCAGCTTCTCCCAGTTCAGATAGGGAGTCCACTGTGAACAAAAACATCTCCTGAGGATCAGAGCACCAAGGACACCTCAGCTGCCTAGAGAAAACGACCCTGGGAAGCACCCTGCAGCAGGCAAGGGAGGTGGGGCAGCCACCAGTGGGCATGGATCACTGGCTGAGATCCTCTATTTGTTGCCCCTTAAAAAGCTTTTGCTGGATTAACTGAAGACTTGAGTGTGGAAATGTATTTCATCACCTGCCAAAGGACAGTGAAAAGCAAAGCAAGAGCCATGTTCCACCTCAGTGAAAGGCTTCAGATGAAAAGCAACCATGGAGTTGTCATGAGACTGCTTGTTTGTGTTATTTTGGGCTCAGATATTTGCAAATACAACCTGTTCTAAACTGATCGCTCTCTGTTTTTTCAGACAGTAAGTGATAAATGTGGTCATTTTGCATTCATCTCTGGGAAGTGAGAAGGGTCTGAGAAGAAAGAGCAGCTGAGAGAAGGGACTCTGCTTGCCTGGAATGGGGTTTACCAAGTGCCTGGATCCCTGTGACCACAGGGGCATTTACAAGTGACTAATCATCACCATGCCCTCCCCAGAGCCTTCCCCACAGCCACCTCTGAACTCCTCGCAGACACTGATGGAAACAGTCTCCTCAGCCTCACAGCCCCCTGGAAACAGGTTACCTTCCCTGTGCCTCTCAAAGGGACAGAAACAATGGAGGAAATCACTTTCCTGAGGACATGCAATACATCTGCAGCAGAGCATGCAAAATCTCACTCTGCCCCAGCTTACCTCCCCATGCCTGCCAAGCAGGGCCCACCTTCACTGCCTCATGGGCTCCAGTTGGCTGTGTCCATGCCAACCAGGACCAGGCTTTAAGGATGAGGTACCACCAGGGAGTTTGGGCTGGCATACAGAGTTAAGTCCTAAGTTTGGGCCATGATAGCATGGACATACCCAGAAGACCTGTCTGTGCTTGAAATGTTCCTCTGTTAAGTGAACCCCCAAATCCACAGCTCCATGCACCCCACTGCTCCATGTCCACCTAGCACTGCAAGATTAAAAACAGATGCTTAGCATCCACTTTGTCCTCTCTTAAAGCAGGTGAACCCAGCTAAGGGGATCTACACTGGAGGCCTGCATAAGCATCATGGAGTCCTAGGACCTTCAGCCAGATGATATATCCACTATCATCCCTTCTAAACAAAACAGGTCTCCACAAAAGTTTTGCCCCCTTTGATGATTTTGCCTTTTTTGCACTTTCCATATGAGGCAGAAAAGCAGGGACCATGATAAATGCTGTCCAGCTGAAAGCACACCTAAATCCACTCATTCACTTCATGAAAAAAAATTATAAAGACCCTTGAGGAGGAGAATGCTGAAATGAAGCAGACAACCCTGTAACAGGTTATTTTTTAGAGGACCTTCAGAGGGAAGGCGTGTCTCAGGGATGCGCCACAGAGCTGATTAGTGGCAAGGACAGCCGTGAAACTGCAGCAATTGAAAATCAGTGTGGCAGGAGCAGGAGGACATTTTAGGGGTGGTCCTGAGCAGGAGAAGGTGACAACTTTCAGGGTCACTGTTTGTCATTGAAAGAGTCCGCTTTGCATTGACCAAACCAAGTCATGTACAGCTGCAAAAATCAGTGAATTATTTCAGCTTAGGAGAAGAAAACTGAGAAGTTCAAAGGCTCCAATTCAACATTTTCTGAATTAGCTGGTTTAGCTTCTTGAAATAGCCATTTATTTTTGCAGATTTCTAATAGCCCATTAAACCTTTTTTTATATATCCCTAAGCAGAACATTTGCTTTCAAACTGAGTAATTTACTCAACACAAGGTGATTTTTCTGCTTTTCATTTCAGCAGGAAACGGAAAAATAATGAATTTCCCAATGACCCCCAGTTGTGGGCTTGTTTTGTTGGTTTTTTTTAATGCTGCTGTTCCTGTAGCAAGCAAAAGCAGTGCTTATTTGCACAGCTATGGTCAAATGTTACATCCCTGAAAAATCTCGATAGACCAGGTTGAGCCAGAGACTGCACAACTGCTGGTGGAAGCAGCACACTCTCCCAGGAAACACAGAAGCCTGGGCTGCTCATTGTCTTAGCTAATTGTGTGACAAAAGACAGCAGGCTTTTATTTGCCATTTTGCAATAGAGTGAGTTTTGGAGTAAGGAAAATTCCACACCCCCACCCCTCCAACAAGAACATCTGTATGGTATCCTACAGGATTCCAAGATCCAGTCAGGGGCCAGGGCAGAGCAGGACAAGTGTATACTGAAACTTGCTCCTAATCCCTTTCCTTTCCATGCAGTTTCAACACAAAGACTTGCTGAAACAGAGGCTGTTTTGTTGTGCTTGGTAATCAGCTGAGGGGTTTCCTCTTTTGGATTTAGTGGGAACTTTATCATAACCTCCTTCAGCAGAGTCAGGCAGAGCAATTATGTCTTTTGGGAAGAGCTTCTTTCAAGCCCAGTTCCCACTGGCTTTATTTGATGGTGTTGCTCTTGAACTGGAGGATAGAGGGAACAAGCCAAAATCCAGTGGCACTGCTGTTTCTCCAGAGATTTTAGTGAACATTGTGACCTGATTCGTAGACCTGCAAAGCTCCTTCTGGGACACCTGGCTGAGGTGATGGGGGTCTTACCTGCAAGAGAGCAAGGTGTTGTCTGGGAGATTAAAACTTAGGTAGGGAAGTCTGGCAGCAAGTTGGGACACTGGAAAGGAAGAAATATCTTCTTTGACTGTGTTTTATATAAGGGTGACAGGAGGCAAAAAAAGTATAGCTTAAGAGACAGGGTCTGTCAGGAGATCAAGAGAGGACTGTTAGAAGAAGAGCTGGTTATAAAATGTTGCCACCAATAAGTCAAAAAGGTAAGAATTCAGGTAGAGACCTCTAAAATCATGTAGTCCGGCCTTCTGTATCTTCAGGAGATCACACACACTCTCCAGGTACCTCTTTCAGTGCTGAGACCACTCTCACAGGGAAGATTTTTTTCCCTCTATATCTGATCAGAATTTTCCTAGGAGCTATTTTTATTCCTCATCCTTTGCTATGTATCTCTGAGAACAACTTGGCATCCTATTTGCAATGGCTCTTCATATAGCAGAAGATAGCAAAGAGCCCCAAATCTCCAGACTCTCCTCATATGCCAGGTGCTTCAGCCCCAGACATGTCCTTCCTCTTTGCTCATTCAACTTTGTTGGTATCTCTTCCCAGGGAGCCCCAAACTGGACCTGGTACTCCAGATGCTCTCTCCAA